AAATAGATTGGCAGCATCTCCCCCTCCCCCCCCCCAACCAACCTAAAAAAAAGTTACGGGACACCGGAAGTGCAATAAAATTCTAAACTTGGATCGTTATTTATTGATAACAATATTTTTTTTTTAATGCTAAATGCCTAGAATCTGGGCTATAATCTTTTCAATGTACATCAATTATTAAGGAAAACTCGTACATAAACAACATATGTCAATAAGATTATTTAATCCTTAAGAAGATTTCATCAAAACTATTTCTCAATGTCGTAATTGTTCCATCTTCCTCTATGTCCAGCAGGATTTTGTCTTGCTACGCTGTCCGTCTCGGATCAAAGACAATTAAAAGTTTAACCTTTACTCGATCAAGGACGTCTTAGATTTGAAGTTTTTACAAATGTTATCGTACATGAATATTGGGGTTTGAGGGTTTCCCCGTAAGTTAAAAAGTTTATCTTTTTTTATGTTCACATTTTAAAACTAAAAAAAAAAAAAAACTTTAAATTATTTTTTTTAAAAATACATTTGAAAAATATATTTATATAACTTGTGGACATATGGCCTATATTTGTTGTGGGAAAATGACATATTTTGTGGACTTATGACCTATGACCTATATTTGTTGTGGAAATATAACAAATACGTGTGGAAATATGACCTATATTTCTTATGAAAATATGACCTATATCTGTTGTGGAAATATGACTTATTTTTGTTGTTGAAATGTGACATATATATGTGTTGTGGAAATATGTCTAATATTTGTTGCAGGAATAGGACTTATTTTTGTTGTGGAAATCTATATTTATTTGCTGTGTAAATATCACCAACTTTTGCTGGGGGAAAACTTGCCACGCTAATATTTTATATTTTCCTAATCTGATAAGCTTGAGTCTGTCAGCTCTTTTCTCTTTCAATTCTTCCCATTACAGGAAACTATCAAGCCTTGAGAATTAGCTTGTTCATCAACTTCTAACTCTATTTTACGTCTAGTCGTTTGAAGGACTACTTCTGGTGACATCTCCCTCTTCGCAGTATACTAAGTGACTTTCAAATGAAATCTCCAATTTAGCAGGTATACTAAGTGAATATTTCTAACGATATCTCCCTCGTAGCAATTATACTAAATTAATATTTTTTTGGGAAAGTTCCTAAAAATTTCAATTTTTACTTCATTTTCTTCCTTTACGTCCACATACAAATCACAATTAACACCCCTATGACAGAATATAAGTTCATTTATCGTTATGTAGATTACTGGGAGTCGAAAATGTACATCAGATATGTATGTTCTAGATATAGCCGGCCAAACATTGGCGACAGCAATGCGTGAACTTCCCATCTACTATAGAGCTTCCGATCTACTCAAGAACTTTCCATCTACTTAAGAACTTCCCATCTACTAAAGAACTTTCCATCTACTTAAGAACTTTCCATCTACTAAAGAACTTTCCATCTACTAAAGAACTTCCCATCTACTAAAGAACTTCCCATCTACTAAAGTCTAAAGAACTTCCCATCTACTTAAGAACTTTCCATCTACTAAAGAACTTCCAATCTACTTAAGAACTTCCCATCTACTAAAGAACTTCCCATCTACTTAAGAACTTTCCATCTACTATAGAAATTCCCATCTACTTAAGAACTTCCCATCTACTAAAGAACTTCCCATCTACTTAAGAACTTTCCATCTACTAAAGAACTTCCCAACTACTACTAAACTACTAAAGTTACTTGACAAAACATGAACTTAAGTAACGCACATTTAAAAGAATGCCAATTTTTGCTACACCCCTTCCCCTATGATACGCCACTGCACACTTTTTATTTCACGCCCATGAACAATATTAAATATTCCGATGTCCCAACACTTTTAAACTGGAATTTTTTTTTTTTTACACCAAACTTAAATTGAGACGATTTCATTTTCCAAAAGAAAATATTACGTGTTGTATATAAAAAAAAATCATTGAGCCTAGTTATCGGGAATTATAATTTACGTGCTATTGAACTGATTATGAAACCTTTCTTTCTTTCAAACATTTATAATTATTTGTAATATACTCTCAATACCAAATTCGCTGATTAGGAAGCTTCTTTTTTAGGAAGCAATCCACGAGTCACTCCAGTAGCGTAATATATATCTAAGAGATGCATATGTATCTGAGGTCTCCACGGCTAAGTAGGTACGTTACAGTCTACTCAACGAATGTCACATCTTACCCAACGCGGCTCCCATAGAACTCGGTGCCTATGATCACTCAAACATCGATTACTTTGTGCCGAGGGACGTCACACTCCAAGGTCACGGCCACACAGAGGCCATCAATGCTACACGATAGGTTCTCAGTAACTGACTTTAAGGGGGTTGGGTGGTTGAAGCAACGAGAGGCGAGTGTTGTTGTTTGTTTGTTTGTTTGTTTTTTTTTTTTTGTTTTTTTTTTTGTTGTTGTTTTTTTTTTTTGGGGGGGGGGGGAAATCAGTTTGAATTTTTAGTTGTTTTTTTGTTTTTTTTTTTTTTTTTTTTTTTTTTTTTTTTTTTTTTTTTTTTTTTTTTTTTTTTGGGGGGGGGGGGGAAATCAGTTTGAATTTTTATACGACATGACTCAAATGCGTTTGAAAAATGATATCTCTAATTTAGATATTTAAAATGTATATACCGGTGATGATAATTAAACTGTTGGTATCTAACTAAGTGGACCGCGAACGCTTTAAACGCAGCGTTTTCGATTGACCGGACGTCTCCCAGGCCAAGGGGTAGGTTCCCGCAGTGCCACCGCACGGTCTGGTGGCGGGGAGACCGTATTAACAGAGGTATTAAGTGCTCGCGCTCGACGACCCATCGACGCCATTTCCCAATGTGTCGTATCTAACTATAGAATGGTATCTAACTATAGAATGGTATCTAACTATGGAATGGTATCTAACTATGGAATGGTATCTAACTATGGAATGGTATCTAACTATAGAATGGTATCTAACTATAGAATGGTATCTAACTATGGAATGGTATCTAACTATAGAATGGTATCTAACTATAGAATGGTATCTAACTATGGAATGGTATCTAACTATGGAATGGTATCTAACTATGGAATGGTATCTAACTATGGAATGGTATCTAACTATAGAATGGTATATAACTATAGAATGGTATCTAACTATGGAATGGTATATAACAATAGAAAGGTATCTAACTATGGAATGGTATCTAACAATAGAAAGGTATCTAACTATGGAATGGTATCTAACTATGGAATGGTATCTAACTATGGAATGGTATCTAACTATAGAAAGGTATCTAACTATGGAATGGTATCTAACTATGGAATGGTATCTAACTATGGAATGGTATCTAACTATGGAATGATATCTAATTATGGAATGGTATCTAACAATAGAAAGGTATCTAACTATGGAATGGTATCTAACTATGGAATGGTATCTACCTATGGAATGGTATCTAACTATGGAATGGTATCTAACTATAGAAAGGTATCTAACTATAGAAAGGTATCTAACTATGGAATGGTATCTAACTATGGAATGGTATCTAACTATGGAATGGTATCTAATTATTAGAGGCCGATCGAATTTCGGTTTCGGCGCCGAAAGTGGCAATCTTATCACTTTCGGCCGAGTTTCGGTTTCGGCCGAAACTGACAAGTTAACTTTCGGCTTAATTTCGGTTTCGGCCGAAAGACAAAAGTTAACTTTCGGTTTTTTTTCGGTTTCGGCCGAAATTGACTTAGACTTTCGGCCATCCGGCCGAAAGTGACTGAGGTTTTCAGTCTTTTACCATATGTAAGATTGTCACTCTGTCTGATGGCTGGCAATCCGATATATTAATTATTGCGCGACGTATTGCTGTCATCGGTAATATATAACAAATTAGTTGCGAACACTGTTCACAGCTGAATGATGACTGACTTGTCCAATATTTTAAGAAATACAATTTTAATAAGGCAAATGGAAAGTTTAACAGTTTTTTTTTTTGGGGGGGGGGGGGGGGGGGAGTGTACTATTTATTTTTTTTTTTCGTTTGG